ACGGGAGCCCAAAAAAGGGGCGGGTTGGGGGAAAAGGCGGGCGCCCAGTTATAAAAGGCTTTCGAAAGCACCAGGAAGAAAGGCAAAAAATTCCTAAAGACCCTTTTCCCCCTCCCCAATATAATAAACCCAAAGTTTTTAATGTAGGAGAAAAAAAAAAACCGGAAGGGATTTTCAAAAGATGAAAAGAAAAAAAAAAAAAAAAGCTGGATAAACGAAGGGAGAAAATATCACAGAAGGGGGGGAAGGGTTAATTAGGAGGGGAAAGGGAAAACACAATGGGAAAGAGAAAAAACCTCCCCACCCCCACCAGGGAAGCACGCGGAATAGGGGGGGAAAGGAAGACCCTTTTTCGTTTTTTGGGGGAGAGGGAGCGTCGAGAGAAAGGGAGAACAGGGGTCCCGCACCCGTTTCCTGTTTCGGGGGGGGGGGGGGGGGCGCGTTTGTGGGTGTACACGCGGCGAGTGAAAGTCGAAGATGCGTGAAACAGGATGTTTTCGTAACGCGCGTTCCCGGTTTGTGTCGCATCGCGCAGGCAAGGACCAGCAGATGCCGCCTACCGGTCTTGATGCGTTTGTTGGTCTTCGATGTTTGGATGATGTTGTGGATGTAGTCTGAGGAGGAGGAGAAAAGGAGGAGGAGGAGGGATACGCCCATGTCCTATTATAGTATTCTTGTGTCACCAGGAACTTGGTGGGTGGTTGACCGCTCTCTTGGGTTAGTCGGGACCGCCCTCGCTCATTCGTTGCTTGGTTGGCCTACGGTGAATACTCTGAAACCAGAACACCTTCTTTTCCCTCCAAAAAGATGAAGAAAGCGGTAGAGATCTGATGTGTTTATGGCGTTCATGTGTGCCCTGTGTGTGTGATTACTCCCATCTACTCGGGGCGGTAGTTTACACACCGTTCGGCATGTGCTTGACGCACCAGCCGGGGTCACACAGACAGGAATAAGTAGTCACTAAACACAGTTTTTTTTTTTGTTCTCCACCTTTCCTCCGGCGGTGCTTGCCTTCAATTTCTATCGCGAGAAGGGCTCTTCCGCAGTGTAGTGTGTGTGTGAGAGTATGCCAGGGTACAGAAGCGTGCATCGGTTTGCTCGAGTATGGGCTGTGTGTTTGACGTTTCACGCAGAGGGATTCGCGGCAGTATGGAAAGCTGTACCCTGGAAGCAGGCACTACCGCTGAAGCTTTGGTCTAGCTCAACAGCAACCTCCGTGAGTTTCCAGGAGCAGCGGGCGGGCGAGGTGCGTGTGCGTGTGTGTGTGTGTGTGTGTGTGTGTCTTGAATTAGCATCGACCGCGCTGACAACGAAAAACACGCGAGTTTAGTAGAGAGGGGGGCGGGGGTGTTTGTGTGCTTGGATCTTTGTCGAGTTTTCTTCGTATCTTGAGTGCGGGCGGAAACCGACGGAATTGCTTGTGTGCCTCGCGCTCGACACCTGGCTCGACACGGGGCCGAGGAGCGGGGAATGCGCCATTCGTCGGCGCAAGTCGAGCTGTGTGTGCCTGGGCTATCTCGCGGGACAGGAGAGAAAAAAGACGGACGGGGCGCTCTTAGTATGGTTGTCCACCACCGTGCGAGCGTGTGTGAAGCGGGGAGTAAATGCCGCAGAGAAGGTGCTCGAGACTCTCTCGTCCTGCAGTTCACGATGCGAGTAGGGTGGGTCTCGTCCCCTGTCCATGGATTGGTCAAAGTTTCGTTCTGGACAGCAGGCGCTTGACTAGAGGCTCTTGCAATTTTTTACGAACGAGTTTGGTTTGCTCGATTGAGCGTTTCTTTGATACTGGCCACAGGAGGAGGCGTTGTAATACTAATACCTGTTCCCTAGGAAACCGCCTTTAACAAGTACCCAAATCGATGCAGGTTGAGTCAGCCGAGTCCGTCGCCATCTCTGGGGAGACTTATGTTTCTCCGCGTGTCGTAAGAGAGGTTGAACACTTGACAGGCAGTCGCCGCCGTCTGCCAACAGCGACAACAACCAGCATGAACCAAGCACCATGGGTGTTTTTTTGGTGCGCCGGGGTGTGGCAACAAACACCCCCGCCCCCCCCTCCGCCAGTGAAGCAAAACTCTCATCATTATCGGTTTCATCAATCTCTGCTGGAGGAGAGGTACATCCGCCACCCACTACCACGAAGGATAAACCAACGTCAGCAACATGACCACGCAACTCTCTCGTCGTCCGTCATCTTCCGTCAGTCAGCGAAAAGCAATGAGCATTAAAAAAAAAAACGGCACTTGCCACCAGGGGAAACACAAGTCTGGCAAGTTCACTGCCCATCCTTCACGCATGCACTATAATACGTTTTACCACCTCAGCCAAACACCCACTCAAACCAGTCACCTGAACTACATCTCTGCAAAAATTCATTTTACCTAAAAACAGAGCAAACCCTTCATCTTCGCCTTCAACGCCATCACTGCCAGCGTCTTGTGCAAGAAGAAAATTTTAAAGGATCATGAATACACGCTGGCACGCGACAATACTGCACACCAAACCTCCTTAAGTTTTTCGTCTCGCTCTAGCTCGCCCGCGTCATCAACCGTCCCTTGCCCCTCCCATGCTCTGGTATTACTACTGGTACTTGATCGATTTACGCGTGTAGGTCTCACCCCGCATCGCACCGTAACGACACCACCACCACCACCGCCTCCACTAACAGCAGCGGCGGCGGCGATGGATATTATCTAACACATAGGACGACCAGTGCCGGGTGACGGTCGGCTGCTGAATATCACGTACAACGAGGTCAACAAACAAAAAAAGTACGCGATAAGAGAAACGTCAAGAGGAGTCCGACAGCTACTGTAGGTAGTAATTTGGTTCACATCGTCCCCCCATCAAACCGTCGCTGAGACGGCGGCGCCCCCCGATCGGCCAGCGGTTCCAAAACCCCGAAATAAACCACAATGGCTACCCGTAACATCGGAGCGACGACTACTTCACTGCTGTACATATAGTGGACGCATTGGACACGAACCAAAACTTTGGAAACAATACAAAAAAAATAAAAAAATGAGATACGACGTGGCACGAGGATTTGACATATTCTCCGGGGCTTTGACTGTTCAATCTACCGAGATGTGTGCGTCTGCCGGGAGAGCTCATCGCTTTTGCACAGAGTTGGAGCCCTCTAACGACCACTGGACTAGCATAGCTCTCTCATCCCGACCCCCACCCCCGCCCCCGTCCGCCGTAAGTCCTCATACGCAAACCTACTTCGACCCGTTGCATGCACCAGATGTGCCTATCGTATACATTCAGGCACGGCAAAACACGCACCGACAGGCTAACGCTTAGAAAAGAGCAACGCAACATGAAACGGCACACAACACACACCACTTTGGTGGAAAGTAAGCAGTAGTTGTTAGGCGGCCATCAGCGCAAGATAGCTTCTGCACACACGTACACAAAACCGGATTTAACTTCTACGCTTTAACAACACATGACGCAGGGAGAGGAGTTTCCAACGCGACAGAGTTCTCTACAATCGTACACGTTAGTACGCAGGGCTCGGCCCGCTACCCACACACACACCCACACGCAAAATACTCTTTCTTCCCGATGCGGGACAAAACAAAAAAGAAGCACTACAATTCTTTTTTTTTCACAAAGTAGCACGCGAGCAAGAAGTCACGAATTAATCAACCTTTTTTAGAGCCGTGCCGAAGGACGGGGACGCTACGAGTATCCCCCCTTCCCACCACACCAATAGAAGAGGGCTACCAATGCAACGCCCGCCGTCTTAAACTGATTGCTGCGAGGAAAAATGTTGGTTCTTGTGCATCCACGGCGAGGCTCAGCGAGAGATTCCTTTTGGTCGTCCCGCCCCGCGCATGAAGATCTTCTAGCAGGAGGGCGCACCCCGCGGACAACCCCCCAGAACCACAACCTCCATGTGATTGCCACGGGCACCAAACCTTGGGCGGTTGTGGGCGGAAGCTGCACATTCCGGGGGGGGGGGGGG